AATATATCGTTTAGGATACCAGTGTATCCGTTTGTACTTGAGAGGATCGAGAGATTTCGCTCGTTGTCGAATTAAGCCAGCTTTGGCTTTCGCTTTACCGATTGTTAATTACGAATCTGCGAATAATGTTAATACACATGTGGCTCGAGTAAATCCCAGTTAACTAACGTTTATATTATTTCACAGGATCTGGTATATAATTATAGACCGATTTATTTCATTGGAAATTCATTTTAGTACCTCGATAAAATTCTACTCTCGAATTCAGAGCGTTCAGCACAGTTTCGATCTACTAATTTCGAATATTCAGTAACACGAAGCATCGATTGCTCAATTTTATTCTAATTTAAACTATTAATAATAAGGATTAATATTCGGTATCATTTGAGCATCGTACATCGGTATTTGGAATTTTAACGCCACTGCAATTTTCGACTAACTATTACCCTATTTTCAGTTTATATTTCAGGGTACGTGATTTCGCATACAAAAAGCTCGAACATGTTCTCCAATTTGAATCAAACAATACACGCAACAACGTTTATTTCCCTGTATTCCACGGTTTTATTTTCCCATGTTTCACTGTTTGATGAAATAGAGTCGAAAACGATTTCCCAACACGGGGAACTATTCGCTGGTGAATTCTGTTCTTTCGTTCATTTGTTTCCTGCCATGGTTTCATTGTCAAAGCATAACAGGATACGCTTATGCCTGGGCTTTCCCTAAGAAAACGTGAGACGTTCCCTTTGACGGCACGGTTATCCGTGTCAAGTATTCGATTTCAATGGAGAATTAAATTGCTGTGAAACGAGAGTTAATTAAATCCTGTAATTTTTAAATCCAACGCAACATCGATTAATCTCTTCATCGATAATTTACCTCTCCGACGTCGCTTTATATCGCACCGATTTATTAAAGTTTCTTGTAACTTGATACAATTTTTTAGCATGGTTATAAATTTTCAAGTGTGTTTTTTCGTGAGATCCTAAAATTTTTAAAATTTTTGCGAGCATTTTGTTGAATATTTCGTTTAATACGATGTAATTCTATCGTTCCTTATAGGAGGTCTTTGAAAATGCATATTAACGCCATCCAAAAGGTCATAAATTTAAATCAGAGTGCAATAAATCCTAGCCAAGGTACCATAAATCCACAATGGCACTATAACGCTACGTGAATACTGGAATATCCTGTATTTCTTGAATAACGCTTTACTACATCGATCGTCGTCATCTGACAGGATCATTTAAGCGTTTAACATATTACTAGTCGCGTGTCAATAAAGTAACAGCTTCTTTGAAAAATTCTATAACATCTATCAACATCCCTGATAATTATTTAAACGCTCCAAACTTTCTTGAAATTCGTAACAAATTTGTGAGAAATATGAAACGCATAAAAATTGCAAACCGATTCTGTCCCTCTTCTGCAGAAACAGATATTCCTTCACTTAAATTCCTCGATACCTAAATTCCCATAAAATTTTGAAACGATGCAGTCAATTTCGAAGTAACCCAGAAAAATTCCAAAAGACAGAATCTTAGTCCCTTTATCCACGATTTATTTTTCCAAAGATAACCTAACGATACAACAAGATAATTCGATCGTAGTGTGGTTCGACATGGTTTCGGAGAAAAGGCTACCTCTAGAAGGAAAATTGGGTGGGTTTAGAGAAGCTTAGGACTTAAAGAAGCACCGGGATAGAAGTAGATAAAAGCAAAGGAAGTGTTGGGAAAGAAAAATTTAGGGGAAGAAGGAATTGGTTCGTTCGATTCTGAACGTTGCAAATGTACTTCCGGGGCTGTTCCAGAGTGAAGAAGAGATCTGTAAAAGTAGAGAGACCACAGTAGAGAAAACAGGAAATGTTCAGAGAAACCGTGATGGAGAAAATTAGGAAGAGAAACGAATAGTACCTTTTCAAAGTATAGACCAGTACGATAAAGATTTCGTTCTCTAAACGAAAAATTCCAATCTAAATCTATTTATTAATATTTTCTCTAAATTTCGAGTCCAGATATATTTTATTCCAAATATAGGTTCAAAACCTCGAATTGTTCTTCAGAAAAATTACTCTTATAAGAGAATTAACGTCGAATGCATGAATTAAAAAATAGCTAGGAATCTAATCGATTCTAGTACTGGATAAATATGCACAGATTACAAGGGATGGTCTTTGACCTCTGATAGAGGGGTTGCTGTAACTCGTTGCTGGCAAAGTATTGCTAGACTGACGTGTAACGTGGCTTCGGACAATATTTCCAGCAAAATGGAACGGGGTACCAATTCTATTTCGATGAATCGCAGTCACAGGAGCGGAAGCTTTTCGTTTCAGTGGATGGCCACTCGCAAGTGGAACGTCCCTCCGGGACACGGCGTATGGCGTCGCTTCTTTCGGATTTAAATTAGATCCGAGTCGACCCCGTGGATCCTTCAGACGCGTCAAAGACACGCTCGTTTAACGTACTTTCATCTGCATATTTTTCATTTCGCTATTCGCCGCAGTGCCCATCGCGCCTCTTCGCGTCCCTTCGGCCGACTCTTCGACCCGCGCCGTGAGTAAGGGATGCTTTATCGTTCCTGGGGAAGCCATTCTTTTTATCTTCTCGACGGTTATTGCGTCTACTGATTCCCGCGTTGCAATTCGCAGGAATTCTTGATATTTCCAAACGGCTCCCGCGAAAACGCGATTATGGCAAGGCGCTGGAGAGGTGGGAAATTAACGGAGAAATTATGTCGACGAGATCGTGACACATTATACGTGAAAGGGGTACGAGAATTTTTAAATTGGAACCCTTGGAAAATTATGTTATATACACTCCTGACCGAACAGATGACATATGTGTGCTATATTTAATTCTGGAATTATATGATTTTTCAATTTAAATGATCCCTGGATGAGCAGATACTTTGAAAGATCATGAAATATCTGATTCTAGTAGAAGAAGTCAGCTATAGTGTCAGACATTGGAGATACTTGAGGATAAGCATTGTGAGGAACTCAATTTTCGCGATATTTGCGGTGAGATATCGGGAAGAGGAATTTTTTTCAGCATTTTTTTTAATCGTGTCATACAGTATCATTCTTTGTCTTCAAAACCGAATTTGATTTGTCATCGTACGATTTTTTGTTACCGAGATATGATATTTTGACTCTAGCGACAGTGAAAATTGTACGCTTTTACTCGAGGATGTCAAAGATAGACTAAGTAAAGGTTACTTCCAATACAAATATAGCACACACGTGCTATATTTTTGTCCGAGAGTGTACATATATCGGAAACTTAAAGTCCAATTATATTTATATTTAAGAAAAATGGTAGAAATTAAATTATAGTTTATACTTTTATACAAGCAAGCATTTAATATTGCAATTTAGTTTCTAATTATTCTGTTACTTACTAAATTTCGAATTAAATTACTTGGTGCAGGCTTATAAAAAATTCTCCAGAGCCCTGTTATATATGATTTCTTCCGATAGATCTTGAAATGAAATTTCTGAAGATATGCTGGAAATAATTTAATCGTTACCGAGGGTAGCGATGAGTAAAATGTAAACGTAAACCGTGCATAAATTTAGAAGATGAAGCATGCAGCGGGAGCGAGCTCTAAATTCAGTGTTAATGGAATACGAAAATTAACGCCACACCTGTTGACTTTACGGGTGTCTGTGCCATTAACTCGAAATATGTGAAACACGCTAACTAGCTCTTCCAGTGTCTACGCTATTAAACACGGCACGGTAGTTTCGTCGGGAATAAAATTCGGTATCGTTTCTTTATCGTCCACGACGCGTAGAAATTGTTTAAAACGCTCTCTTCCTCACTTCTCTCGCTTAATAAATTCGTGTCCCGGTGCGCACATTTTCCAGCGAAATATCCATCGTAAAAGTGATCTCAACGAATATGGGAAATGACCGTTTTCTTTCATGTGCTTTCAACTTACGAATAGATAAAGTACCATGCATTGTACCTCAAAACTACCATGGTCGCACGTGAACTCCGAGGAAAAGGTAAAAGCGTTACGACCTATTAATTTCCCTGTAAACAAGCAGTTTTAAAATTAAAAAGGAAATGATTTAACTCGATCGCAAACTTTATAAGAATTTTCCAATGCACGAAGGAATAAGAAAAATTAAATTATTCGCGCACTTAACCGTCCAGACTCGATGTATCAACTTACTAAATTATATATTAATTGCGTGCTCGAAGTAAACGCACGTGTCTTCTAAATTCTTAAAGAAACATATCGGACGAGTGCAGAAATCGGATTTCCGTTAACGTGCAAGAAATCAAAGGGAAATTCAATCTCCAGAGGAATTGTCGCCTTGAATCGTATCGTGGGCGATTTTTAAAGCGGCAATTTTCAAAAAGCGACGGAATGCGTTTCGCCGTGTCGTTCTCGCTCGCCGGGAGTGCGGTACATTAATTAAAAAAGAGCGCAGGGTAAAAAGGGAAGGTGAAAAAAGAACGTGGAACACCTCGACTGATCGATATTACTGCAACGACGCAAAACTCAGCGCACACGCAAGTGCGACGAAAAAAAACGACTTGAAATACTCGTGTGCACCCGCGATAATCAGGCATCGAGCAGGTCATGAGCGATCGCTGTGATCGTCACTGATCATTCATGACGATTTCCAGTGGCAGTCCCTCGTCATAGAAAATCACCCATTCGTCGTTATTAAAAATATTTTAAGCAAGAATCCGCTCGATCGAGTGTCATAATCCAATCTGTCGGAGAAAGCTATCGAATTTGTCAAATTTTTCTGTGAATTTTCAAGATCTAGGGAACATCGAAGTTATCTCCAAATTATCAAGGAAGATATTAATAAAGAATTTTAATTACGGTATATCTCATGGTAATTATTTCTTTGCGGATTTTCGTGTTCTTTCGGCGGCATCGATTTTTATGAGACATCCAGTATACGTATATATATACGTTGAGAAACGCAGCGGAAACGAAGGAGCAACAAGTGACGAGGAACGTAATTGATGTTGCAGAGTTCAAGAGACAGACGGCTCCTTCTTCGAAAGTTTCACCGCGTTATCTTGGAGGCAGCAAAATCGAAGGCTCGTGGTTCTACAGGAAGTGGAGGCCAGGGCGAAGGAACCGCCACCCCCGTCCAGAGACACCAGTTTGACGTCTTCGCAGTCCTATCGCTTCACCAAGAAGGAGGTGAGTAACTTTCGACCCACTTCTATTAATTATTTCGAACGTCAATTTACCCTGTTTCACGTGATACAGGGTGTGGCACGTAGCTGTCGCCATCATTTTTTAGACTCAAACTTCAATTTAAGAATCTTTTATATTTCAAAGTGTAGCTGGCTAAATAACGATTGACTTTCTTTGTAAATATTCTTTTATTTAGCTGTCGAAAGTCCCTAAGAAATTATGACGTCAGGTATGTGTCACGCTGTTTATAATAATATTTTAATACCCTAATAAAAATTCCGTAGACGATAATTTGACCGTCTCACGAAGGTACCACTGTCGACCTCTTTCTCGAACCCGATAATCGTGTAAAAAGGGGAAAAGTGTGACGGAAAACGAGCAGTTTAAGGAAAAGACAACTTCAGCCCGCGTTTTAGAGTAGGCCGCGTTATCCGTAATTCCGAAACTTTTGTACACGAAACGCAACGAGCGTAAGTTTCCGGTTTCGAGCGTCAGCACCACACGCTACACGGCCTCTCTGGTAAATGCAAAAGCTTGCAACCATCCGCTATCATTTAACGCGAGATAGAGTTGTTAACTACTTTCGGTCGACGTAATGCAAGCAGCTGCGCGTCGAATTTAATCGCACTCTAAACAATACACTTTCATGCACAGAAGTTAACCGTGCGACGAGGCGAACGAAAACATGGCAAACACGTCAAAACACGGTCCTCCGTATAAATCCGTGTGTACGTAACCATCGAAGACTCGAGAGACCGGTACTTGATTTTTAAACCTCTCTTACGAATAAAACCGAAGCACGTTATTTCGATAATTTTGTAATTTCTGATAATGAAAATGGTGCTTCGAAGCGTCGCTCCTGCACTTGGGTCCTCGTGCGTTTGATTTCCCTGAAGTGTATAAAATTCGCGTGATTTTATTTCTATTTTTAATCGTAATGGTTATAAATATAGAGATGCAAATTTTCATCGATAAAAATCTAATTTCAAACGATGCGACGTAATTATTTTTTAGGTATCCTCGTATAGAAAAATTAGAAATATCTAATTGAAATGTAGCTTCAGAGAGGAGAAACTGTAACTCTTATTTTTTATTCGATTTGATAGAAAATATTTATTTCTTAATTTTATTCCACCGATCGATACGATCCTAGGTCTCTTCCCACGAGTTATCTATCCGCCGGTATATCCATCAAACTATAATTCATCGAGCTCTTAAATCACGAGTCGCGATACCAACGCTCTTTCCTTTCGCAATAAAAGGAAATAGTTGTCCGACGATTTTACCTGCAACGTTCATTAATATCAACGTCACGACGATGGCGAGCGAGGCCCTTTGTTCGCGCAGTGACGCATATTTTGTCATCTGTCATAGCGTCTAGGGTATTCGCGGGTCGCATGCGACCTGGTAGTTATATTTCCATTGAAATATTATGCGTGCAGGTCAATCGGTCTGACGGACAGCCGCTTTAATGATATCGCCGTTTCTGCATTTCTTTATCCCGCCTGTGATCCGCAATTCCCATGATTGCACTTTCAAGAAATCTCGATGTTGCAGAAGATATCGGGCACAGGCACGACAAGGTCCGAACGCGAAGCACTTTAAGCTCCTGTCTTCGAATTTTATCGCAGCCATTTTACTTTCTTTTCATTGCTCTTTGCGTTCATTACGTTAAAGCGACCATATCGATCGTGTTAGGGATATTAAAATGGATGTTGATTAAATGTTTACATATTCTGGATGTTCTCCATCTTGATCCCACCGTCGTGCCTTGCACGATACACTAAAATAGGTTATAGTTTCACTGTAATTTCTTTAATAAACTGGCTTTGGATCAAATTTGGATTAGCCGTGGCTCAGATTGGGGTTGCGATTAGCATATGCCAATTGTGTCAGAGATTATCGAATGAATAAATGCGTGGATGCTCAGAGTGTCCTACAGAGCCTGTTGAAACTTTTATGGCTAATATCGATACAAACGTGGAAATCGCATAAACATAGTTACACGAACACCATTTAGACAGCGTAGGTCTGATTCGACGATCTGGGTTAGATTCAGGTTAGATTCAGGTTAGATTTTGCTCAGATGAGTGAATATTTTATTAATGCTGCGAATATGTGCATAGAGCAAACGCGAGGTAAATGCGGCTTCATACGTATTTATGCGAATATGCACAGTATCGATCGACGAATTTAGTCGAAATTGAATTAAACTTATTTCACGGACGAAATACCAATTCTATAAACGAACCCCTCCCACGCTGACTTCACTTTTGCCAATTTTTTTCATTTTTGCATCGAGGGACTCTATTTAATCTTGTTTTTCTTATTTAAGGTAAATTTCGCACGTTCTCCACAGATGCTACTATTATTTATTGGCTGTCTTCACTGAACAAATTCTAAAGATTCTTGCAGACACCAAAAAGGAGAACAAAAAGTTTGACGTAGTTAACGTGAAACTACTGAGCAAAGCTGAACATCAATTTCAGTTATTACTCTGTATAGTATCATGAGGTCGTTACCACTTACGTTTCATTTTTTCGTCGCAAACTTTCCCATATTATGTTCGTGAGCCTCGTATTTCCTTCGTCTCAGTTTTTCATCGTGGAACACCTTGGCAAAGTTTGCGCGAAAACCTGTGGAATACCCCTGAGAGCCATTGTCCTGGTATTCGTTTTTGGCTGGATACATCGTACTTGAGATCACTCTGCCTTTCACAAAGCGGACAATGCGTAGGTGGATTATGGTATTCCGGATGAACGTTCCCTGGGTCAGCCTGTACGTCGAATTCAAACTAAAATACAACTCCGCGACGTGATAAATCGCCGATCGTTATTAGGCATTCCCTGCCATGCGAGTTTCGCATACTATATTCGTGTAAACGTGTCGTTGGAATTTGATATCTCGATGAGGCTTTTACTCGTGCGAAGAAGAAGGAGACCAGATATCTTGATCCTATAACAATCAAAGATTTCGCAAAAATATATATATATATTAAAAATTCGTTCATTTTTAAAGCAGTTTTCACTGTATTTTTAAGGTCAGGATTATTTCTCGTGTTAAATCGCCACACTAAATTCCAGCATGTTCCATCTCGAGGTTCCAGATTTAACCCCCCTGCCTTGAATTTTTTAAAACCAAAGCCTTTAAACCATCAGATCAGAAGTCCCGAGTTTCAAACTTTTCGAATCCAAGCTCGCCTAAATCCCCGAAGTCACGTTGACTTTATTCCTACGAGTCGCGTACTTTTCGAAATAACGGCGTCGAGAATTCCTCGCGGGATTATCGAGAAAATATTTTTTTTTCACTCGAAATTAAATAAAAGCTCTTTCACGCTTACCGTCCGCGACGCTTTAACACCCAAACCTCGCGATGTCGCGTTTTGGGTATCAAAGACTTCGTCACCGACGCGTTATTAAACTCTCTGTGGAATATTCGCGTGATTTGAAGAGGTGTTAAGCTGGTGGTGCAAAGGTCGTTATACGACACGCCGCGAAATAACGAGACTCGGTGCGATTGATCTCATAAAAATGCATCCACGCGATGAAGATGATCGCTGTGTCGTTTTTCCGGAAAGAAACGAGTAACAAGAAGCGCGCCATGGAAAGAATAATGGCGTCCGCGTTTCGTCGAGAGGCTCAGAAGAATTCCGACGAATCGTTCCTATCGTTGCACAGACTTCTCGTCCCGACAGGCATATCTCTTTTTTCCGCTTCGTTAGGAAGCGGAAACGCGATCGTTTTCCGCTTATTATTTCCACTGAAATCGCGTTACACGCCCCTGCCCGTTCAGCCACCGATACGCCGGAACGAGGATGGGAATTAAGCGGAAAAAGATGTATAACGTGGTGTAAAAACATTTGGAGGGAATCCGAGTAGTCCTCTGTAGTACATAAAAATCCAACGTGACAAATCGGGTTCGAAATATAGAAACCAAGCTTTTACACAAAAAGTGTGATTCTCGTGGCATTCTCTGCAGTTGTTTTCCGGAATTTCTGAAATTTTTGCCTTTTAATATCTCGTGTAAACCAAGACCAGATATCGAGGATTCGACACTTCTTGGAATCTGAAGAGTAATTGTTAAATAAATTATAAATTCGGTGCCTGTAAATCCTAGTTCGGTCTTGAAAGGCTATCGTGCAATTCAAAGAGAAACGAAGGAAAATCAGCTTTCAAACGAGGAAATAAATTGTCGCGTGTCTTGAATTTCCCGATTAGCCATGAAACCATATTTAATTACCCCCCTCGACTCAGCGCGCACCTTAATCGTGACCAGCGAAATTTAATTCGCGTTTCGACAAATACCTCTCCACTGGCCGATTATAAATCTTGCGAGTAACCCGGTATTTTCCTGCGAGAAACGGATTCCAGTCGAAACTTTTAAAATTTATACCCCCGCTGGTATAATTACGACCCACCCCGAGTCTCGGAACCTTATTTCGCGAATCAACTCCCGACGAAATTATGTTTAATTAGTTCCCTTGTATTCTCGAGATTGTATCGCCAAACAGAATGCCTGAAGCTCGGTTACGTGCTTTCCGTAAAACTTCGAAGCTTTCAGGCATCGAGTCGCAGTAGCGTGTGTCGTTAATGGTCGGCCAGTCGAAATTCGCTCGCGCAAATTCCCACCCTTGTCCACGCGATTTTGCAGCTTTATCCGTTCAGCCTCGATCTCCCCCTGTCTCCTTCCAATGCACGTTGTTTCGCGACTTTTCTTCCTGTTTTTATTTTTATTTTTACCCTTTCCCATTCCTTCTTTTTCCCATTCTATCTTTTTTCCGCGAAGGTTCCAGGACGGCAGAAATCAGGGAAAAAAGAGCGTTTCGAAAAGTAGATGCTCGTTCGAGAACAACTTGCATTCAAGCTAGACCGCGAAATTTAGCGAAGCGGTTCTAATTAGAGCAAATCGAGGACCTGCAGGAGAGAAAGTTCCCGCGGAAAGGAGGTCTCATATGCTCGCAGTATACCGTTTGTCTTGCAAGCCGGGTCAAACCTCGACGAATTTCACTTACACGCAACGCGCCATTCTCGCATTCGGTATTGCGAAATTTTTCGCTGAAAAATCACAAAATCTCGTCTTTATCATTTCTCTAACTGTACATGAACAATTTTTGAAATTCGTAAAAATGTCTTTTTACTCTATAATTGCAAACTGATAATTGAAAGTGAAATGTGGACGGAGAAATTTTCAAATTCGTTTAAAAGCGCGAACTTCGTTAAATAATAAATCACCCTCTTTAACTTCCTTCCGCGTTTAAAAGCACGAACAAAAATGATGGAAAGGGAAAAAGAGGAAAGAAAAGTTGAAAAAGATAAACGTTACTCTGCACGTTAGTACCGCGACATATTTTTATCGGTGCAGGCGTGGAACAAAGAGGAATCTCGTTTCAAAGTTTGTCACGGAAAAAAAGTGGGTGGTACTGGAAGAGGCCTGTCAAATTGATAACGAAAAACGCGGTTGAACATTCAAACGTAGATTGCCGCGGAACGCACTGCCTGCGAGTACAATACGCGTTCAAAAACATTGTTTCAGCTGGAACAGTTGTACATAGAAGTCCTCTATACGATCGCTAATACGGTGGGAGCCAGCACGGGACAATACGCTCACTACAAAGAGGATCTTTATAGGTATGCGCAGGAAGCTTTCGGGGTTCCGCAGGATCAACATCGCCGATATCTGAACATCGCATCTGAGGAGAAGGTATGTTCTGAGAAATTATTAATTAATTGTAATTAGGTAATTTTAATCCATAGTACATCTCCAATCACTGAAGATTTGTTTGAAAAAGATAGTTGCAGAATTGTATTTGAAAATAATTTTCAAGGCTAATTTCTTTCTTTATTTTATCCCGTTTTACGGATATTTTTTCCATTTATTGCATTTGATTGCGTTGGATCGTACGTCTACATTTAAAAGAAATAATTTAAGTTATTATCGAAATAAATTAAAATAATACAATTTTTAGGGTGAAAGGAATAATTTATTATATCTATTATTCCTCCATTATAGCTTTATATTATACTACCGCGAGCTGAATTACACGTAATTGTTTTATATTATGATCTTAATTGAGGTCGTATAAGATAATATAAAAATTTTATTGGACTATTAAAATAATCTTTTTTTAGGGTAAATGTATCTACGGTATATTTTATAATGTTCGAAGTACATCGAGGTAATTATTTTCTCTTTAACAGAAATGAATATCAAGAATAAAGAAATGAAGGAACGAACATGAAATATCATATTTAACTTTTTAAATAATATCATTGCGTTGGGAAATCACGTTTTATATTAATGGAATTATACCATTGTACCGAAATACTCGTTTGGTTTAAAATTCCGTTTGAATCTGGTCGAATAAAACATTATTCAAAAACCACACGGTGAATGCGTGGCACGAGTAATTGTGTTATTACCGGACAAACAATTATCGAATCGTGACCAGAGTCATCATATCCGCGGAACGAATGAGAAACGATCTCGTTCTTGACCGATGGAACGAAGCTTCGAAGTCGGAAGGAACAAATTAATTAGAATCATCATTGATGCGATTATTGTACTCATCCTCTGTCTTGGATAAATAACCTAGTTTCAATTGTTCCACTTTCCCATATTTTCTCACAAAACGAACTCTTGCGCGATTAAAATCGTGAAAGGAATCGGTCGTTAAATTCCGATGTATATTTCAGCAATAATTCACTTTACATTGAATTCGGAACAGAATTACGTTGCGAGCCTGTATCGTTTACAATCGTAATACCACTCGTTTCGCTATGTGCGAGCAAAATTTATTTAATTATTCCTCTGGTCGATAAATTCCGTTGCAGTTCGTTCCAGCACCGTGAAAATTTCCACGGACTTTAATGGATTAACTCGTATCGTTTCGTGAGCACCGAGGTAACGATTATTCCTTCGAATGGTTTCTTAAATATGGTTTCCCGTATGCTTTCCAGCCGCCGATAGTTGTTCTTAGCGTGGTGGTTGTCGAGGCGGAGGGACTCGAAGCGAAAGACGCGAACGGTGAGCATTTATTTAGCGTGCTTGGTGTTTAATTATGCCACGCCACGTAGCGTCCATACCAGTTTAACTAGTCTACTGAAACGCAAATGAATTTTCCATTGAATTACATGCATGCATAAACCGGCGGGGGTCGGTGGGATGTCACAAATTTTGACAGGAGCTGGATGAAAAGCGATGCATCTTTCAGCCCTCGACCCCCATTTCCGATATTTCAGACGCTTTGCACGTTGACGGATTAAATAATTGAAAAGACATTTTTGCGTTTAATCTATCTCGATCATCGTAAGTGATCGATACCGCGTCATACATCATGTTCTCGGAAATAATTTTGAATACTTCTTTTATACCCTGGCCGCTTCGGAGAGCCATTGTACAAAGTGTTTTGCATAATATTTAATAGCATACAATGGGGTTAGTTCAAAAATAATGGGGGTAGTTTGTGCTCTGATAATTTGGAATAAATATTTGTGCGAAAAATTTTATTTAATATTTCAGAGTACAAGACATAGTTAATGTTTGACAGTATAGCACTATATAGTACATGTTCCACTAAAAGCATAATAAAAAGCACAAGAATGCAAGAATTTTAATATGAACAATGTGCAAGCTCTAATGCTAATGACCTGCAGAGATAAAGCATCTCAGTACTCCGTGATAAAAAATACGATCTTATTCTGGAAAACTTCCTATATAAAATATCTATCTCAAAGTACTGAAACAACTCGAGGGAACATTCGAAAAAAATTTTCCTGCAATTTGGCTAACAAAATATCGCGCAAACTTCGATAATGCAATTCCAGTTTCAAGCCAACTACATAGTACCGCTAAAAGGATGTAATTATATTTAAAAAATAAATGAAGAAAGAATGAAATACCATTATGAAAAATTTTATATTTTTAAATAGAGAAATATTATATAATATATGAGGAAAATCGATTTACCTTTTCCATTTAAATCCACGCAGTTTTTCTAATTAGTACTTCTACGTTGTACTACTAAAAAATCATGGTTGCTTGAAAAAAACGAAAAACCATCTTTCACGAAGAATTCTCTACTTTTCCACGCAGAAGCATACGGTATAAAAGAAGTATTCTGAAAGTACATAAATTTGAAAATCCTAATGTTTCCTCGTTTAATACTAGAACTACCGACCTGTAATCTGCGGTAAAATAATTCAAGTGGAATGATAAAACTATGTATATGCCTACACATTTTTATTCGTATGAAAAAGAATTTCGTCAGAAGAATCTGCTAATTATAAATTAATTATTTGTAATATATTTTAAATTTGATATATTAATTTATTAAATACAGTAAAACGTAAATAATGCCAATTTTAATTACAAGAGATGAAACTAATCATGAGTTAGAAAATTTGGTACTAATTCAAAATATAATATTACGAATGACAAAATTCAAAGCTTGCTAATACAATTAGCAAGTAATACAACAAATATACAGTAAAAAATAACAAAATATCTGATACCTGTTTAGACTTATTTTGGTTCAGTAGTTCCAGTGTTAAATTCCTCGTTGAACTCATTCTTCGATTTACGGAGATCTTTATATTTGGTAGTTTGCACTTAACACCGAAAGAAATTTTGCATATTTTCTTCAGGATTCAGCGACCCCTACTGCATGCTGGGAATTCAACCGGGCAACACAGGTGCGCCATTGAGTCCGCAGACAAATTTAACGGCGCACTCACCTCACACCCCGCCAGCATCCCCTAGACAAGCGACTCGGGCACTTTCCGATGGCGGCGAAACCGAGAATTCGCATCACGAGAAGTTACGGAAACACCACAGGTAAGTCGATGCATCGACGATCCCCTGGACTAATCGATGATCGATCACGAGCTCGCCGAAGCACTCTCTTCGTCTCTTTGCAATCATATTTATCAGAAAACGATCTAGACTCTGTTAAACATTTAGCCTCGTCGACATCGCAGTCTAGAATAGACTTTCCTTGATATACCGAATTTTGACAGTGATTAGACAATCACGTTTCACGCTGTATCTCTACTTAACTCTATGTAACTACCGTCTATGGAATAAACAATAAACTCTGTGAGCCTACCAAAAATTTGCTGGATGACTCTTTGGAATGCAATTACAGGTCTATAAAAACACACCTGTAATTACCGCTACATGTTGAATTCTCACGGTGTAAGTGTGCAATTCCCATGCTTATTCATCGCGTTCACAGTGGTACCGGTATCTATCGCGAAACGAGACGCGTGTAATCGATGGATTAACTCCATCCGAATCCTCTTGGTCGTGCGATCGAACTGCAGAGGGATCGGGCCAGAAGCGACTAGTAGTCGGCTCGGCGAATCGCGTGACATGCCGACAATGAGTGACGATAACGACGAACGTTCGCCGGATGCGACGAGTTCCGCGCGCGGCGGTACGCGGCAGAATAAGGCCGCGATGCATTGAGAATCGAGCGGTTCGTGGCTCTATCTCGCTGGCATTGTCTCCGCGCGGAGCCAGCGAGCCGATTAATTCTCAGTGGCATCGTGTCGACGCGCGAAACGAGTCCGTTTCGCGGCCACGTGCTCCTCGTTTGTCCAAGGATCGAGTGACAGGGGACAGCCATGCCGAACGTGGAGAAGCTGGTCAAGAAACGCCTGGAGAAACTGTGAGCAACGTGTTTGCGAACTTCCGGGAGAGTCGGATTCGATGGAATCGAAATACTCGGCATGCGATCCGGGTTATCGGGACCATTCGCTCGAATCGAGCGTAACGTTTTCGGGAAATTGGTATGACTAGGTTATGGGAGTGGTTTAAATGCTCGTGTAACACGCTGCCTTTGGTATCGCTATTGGGGTAGGTCGTGTGTACGCGTCTCGGTGAGTCTAAATGGAAGTCGGTGACTGTGTTCGTTGCTAGTTTCGCTGATAAATTGGATCTTCAACTATGGTTCGCTGGATCCAGTTGTAAAATCAAGCAGACTATCAGCGGGAAGTTTAACCTCCACGCTGGGGATGAAAAAAGCTCCGATGGCTGATCCTCGAATTTTCATACTGTGTAAAACGTGAAATGAATATTATCTATTACATACGCGTAAAAAATAGATGAAATTCATCGCGGAAGAGAAATTTATTCAGTCATATCGGTCTAAAGGAATTACAAGACATGTCTTCGAAGAACGAACGAAAGAGCTTTGAGACCTTCAAGAAAGAAATTCATTTAAGTCTACCATCCTTAGAAAATCTTCATATAGATTTTCATATTTTCTAGCACGCGTAATTAAATTCCAAAATTTTATGTTGATCCAAGGAAATCACAAGACATGTCTCAAATGAAAAGCTAACCAACCAAACCGTCGAGTAAACGATCCATTGAATCCTAATTTTCATACCTTCAAGCCCACGAAAAAATGTATCGTACGTTTAAAATTCTTAGCCAGAATAGAAAATTCGACATAAACCACACATTCGCGATGCCGAAAATTAATTATATTCGTCATGTGGTTGAGCGAGTCGCGACACCGAGAAAGTATCGCTTTGCAATGGAAAGAGTCAGTGAAACGGACTCGCGCAAAGCCAGAAAAGATGCACGGAAGCTGAAGCGAAATCCGTGGAGTCTATTGTATCCGTTCGAAATCAGTTTCAGGTTGTCGTTCAAGCGGAAGGAGCACACGAGCAGACGCGAGCATCGAGAGTCGTTGAGCGGCGCGGTGCCGGCCAAGTTTATACGCGCGACCACGGTGAAGCCGCACACGCTGAGCCCGCGATGGAACGAGAAGTTTCGTTTGTAAGCAATCCCGAGTATCCTCAGGAGACATTGCTTCTTAGTCTTCGTCCTTTCTTCCTTCGCTTCCGTCCAGTGTTCAATGGCGAAGCGATCGGAAACGCGTTATACGGAATTTCAAACCGGATAGCAACACACGCGGTTTAACCTTCTCGTGTTTTCTTTTCCCCTTTTAGCGACATCGACGACATCAACGCGGATATCCTGCACCTGGACATATGGTGAGTGCTGTCGTTTATCGAGCTGGCTGTTCGCTGTGGTATGGCGTGTCGATCGTGTTTCAGGTGGAATGAAATTTCTTTGTTGGACTTTTTCTGACAATTTTCGCTAATTGGCATGTTTTTTAAAAATAGAGCCTTTTTTAGTCGCAGATAGAAAAAGGGATATTTTGTTTCATTCGAGTAAACGTTGATTGATTCTCGAATGTAGGATAGCTGTACCAGAATAATCGTTTGGATCCATTTGTCCTAGGCTGTGTATCTGGAAAATGACGTTTTGGAGTTAATTAAATCCTGAAATTAATGTAATCCTGCATCTCGATGCATGTGTGGAGAAGAAAAATATCGACGAGATTGAATTGTCAGTAAAGTATGAGTATTTCTATTTCCCTTGTTGAGAACGAAGTCCATCGCAAACGAATTTCGTTTCACTAACTCGCTTACTTTCCACCACTGTATAGCATTTTTCCCGCTGTTCTAACCAACAACAAGGAACGTTTTCGCTCAAATTACCCGTTGACTTTTGTTCCTGTTACATCCTGTATTTTTCTTTTCATTTGAGTTTGCATCCTGTTACGAATAGCGGTACCTCCATGTTTCGTTTCTTTATCGACACTGACTTCGACTGTCGACGAACGTGTACTACCAGCACATTGACAGCCGATTCGTTGCACATTGACTGCCGACGTCACTGTCAGCGATGATTTCCACCAAATGCTTACACGCAATTTCCAAATCCGTGTCTCTCCCTGTCGGAAGTGTTTGTGTTGCCCTGACAGACATAGTTTCAGGGACCACGACGACGAGTCCTCCGTGTTCGACGCAGTGAGCAAGCTGAACGAGGTACGCGGCGTGAAGGGACTCGGAAGATTCTTCAAGCAGATCGCGCAGAGCGCGAGATCCGGTGGCCAGGACGATTTCCTGGGCTGCGTGAATGTCCCTCTTCAGGTATATTACCATTCGTTTGACCGGTTTAATCGTTGTCCTTTTATGACGATAAAATTAGTATGAGGAATCGTCATTTATTAGCTCCTTGCAATCTCGTTGAGATTCGCAGTGGATAAGTGGAAAGTCTAATAATAAAGTCTAATAATGTTCAAAAGTTTTATTTGGAGTCTGTCCATCGTCAAAGCAATTTTAGTTTAGGTTAATTTGAGATCTAGTTTTATTTTCCGAGTCCTCAATGCGAGCGAAACAAGAGGGGTTCGTTTGTTTTCAGGATATTCCAAGCACCGGCTTAGATCGATGGTACAAATTAGAGGCCAGAACGCAACGAAGCACTATTCAAGGTAGAATTAGGTTAAAGCTGAGGTTATCAACGAGAGAAGACAGAGGAACGTCCGAAGAAGACAACTGGGGAGAGCTGAGGCAACAAGAGCGACTTTATACGGTTTTCCTCAATCACGAGATGAATAAACAAAGGGTAGGAAATATTCTTCTCTTCTGAATGCTCTCTTCTTAAGGTACAAGTTTACGTGATATATTTTTTTATTTACAAAATTTATATAAAGAAAATAAATAGTCGGGAGAAGAAAATATTATTTTATACCTATTTCTATTACGCTAATAATTATTTCGCGTTTAATTTCCTTCAACGTGGTACAGAATTGAAATACTGTTTCTTCTTTAACTTTTCGATGCTGCAATTTATTTATCGTGTAACGATGCCATTCTATTTGCGCCATTTAGGAAGACTTCACGGGAGAATTGCCACAAACGGCACTAACGATTCTTCATCAACACGCCGTCCAAGGTGATGTCACGGAATTGCAACAAGCGTTAGTTAGATGGGTGGCGACATCCAGGCAATCAGCGTGCGACCCAAGGATCCTTCATCGTCTTCTTCAGGTTCGTTTCCATTTTCCCGACATTCTTATTCCTCCCGCTACGTTTCTCTTCCCTAACGACCCCGAATCGAATTTGTTTTCAGGAATTAGACAATGTATGGCACACGGAGACCCTTTCCCGGGACGAGGAACAATGTCTCGCGGACTCTTTCAACGAATTTCTCGAGGTAACGTTGAAGAAAGTTCGACAGCATCGAATGCTGTTTCCGCCGCTGCATCGGCCATCGATCTCCAAGTTGGATTACCTCCTTAGGTACGTATCCTTCCAGGAAAACACCGAATGAATTAAATGTAACTTCCGTATTGTAAATTCTATTGTTTTAAAATTAACGATACCAACCTCGTTACTTTCATAAGGCGAAATATCGGTAATGAAGTACAGTAAATACTGATTGAATAAATATTCGAATTAAATTTCAATTAATAGATCCCTGTGAATACGATAAATATTAATCACCATTGCTATTTCACTGGAGAGTTTTCATTTTGAAACGTTATAGCGCGCTGCATTTACGAAAACAATGTGAACTTCGAACACAAAGACCGGCAATGGAGTCCCTATATTTTCCCTCTAACTCATACCGAGAGATAGTGGAAGACTTGCCCTTTGCAATGAACTTCGTTTAAACTCGATATCTTAATTAGTTCTCGAGATACGGAACTTGGAAGCGCGGCACGTAAAACTCGAGGATTTCTGAATGGCAGGCGGATTCTAAGAAACCTAACGACCTACTTTTTTCCCCGCAAAAGTGCGTACATTGTTAGTAGTAATAGTAAAGAAGCGCTGAGTTAGCGATTGTGATTGACTAGGGTACGCGTGATGAGCTTAGGGTAGGTCAGTGAGGGAGAGCCAGCGATGAAGATGGCAATAGCTCCGAAACGGATAATGATATCGTCGTGAAACAAAAAGCGTTTCAAAGAGCAAGATTTCCCACTTCCGATAGTTCTAGGTAGATGAGTCTGCAGAAATTTTTGACGAAGATACGAGCTATCGAAGAAAAGCCACGATTTAATACGATTTCTTTTATTTAGCTCAATTTATTGCTAGATATAGAGAATGTAAACTGTTAGTTTTATCCACTAAAAACACTGTTCGGTTCCTATAGAAAATTAATTTTGCAATTTTATAAACGTCTAATATACCCATTAACGGTAAAAGCTTCTTAGAGTGCTGGTGGTGTAAGAATTAATAAATTACATCGATATTAAAAATTTCTTCAGTAGTAGTGATAGGGTTTTTGTGGTACATTATTAATTTATCCTTAATATTAAGAATTTTTGATATAAGAATAACTGTCATGAAAATGTGCATTATCTCCTTCCAACAGATGTTTAGGATTGCTATCGAACATGAAAGCCTTCAGAGCGTGTTGCCCGTTCAACAAGGAAATCCGTGGAGAAATAATAACCGTCCTGAGAAAGGGAACCCTCGAATGGTTAGTGCTCGATCGAATTTTTTTCATCCCTTCCTGTTTTCCCCTCGAGTCTCTGCCTCAGCTTGCACGTCTAATCAACGACGCTCGTTCCCTGTTCAGGTACGAGGACACCAGGCAGCTAACAATGTGTTACGATAAGGAGCCTGATCAGGATGCAGATAAGGTCCTACAGGACTTCACGAACTTAGTAACTGCGTTACTGGTAGACCTGGAGCAAGGACTCACTTATTACAACAGCCTCTTTGAAAGGTGAGCCTTTCAAATTTCTCAACTTTCGAAATTGAAATGTAAAGTTCGCGAAACTCCTGTCCATTTACAAAATGAAACGGTACAACGTTTCTAGCATATTCAGGCTTTGATTAAAGGTCGCATTGAGTTGGATATATTAAGTACAGCAGTGTCGGGGGAAAAACTTTATTTTTCCTTTTCTTTTTTTTTTTTTTTTTTTTTTTTTCCGCTAAAACTTTG